GCCGAGAGCCCTTTCTAAAGCTCGGGGAGCCCCTGGGAGCCCCGGCTGGGGCTGGACTCGGGTACTGAGAGAGGGTGCTGCTGGACAACCCAGAACCTGATGCCCGACGGAGGCTGAAGGGGCACCACGGGGGCTTCCCCGTCCACCTGTCCACACGGTGCGGAGGTCTGGAGGACCGCGGCTCTGTGCTACTCCGGACGGGGTGCGGCGAGCCGCTGTTCTGCGAATGCATGTGGCGTGCCCCTGGTTAAGGACATGTGTGTTCTCCAACAATAAAGAGTTTGAGCAGTGCCTGCCTTGCACACCCTGGAGAGCTGAGCTGAAGGAGAGGCACAGGCTGGGCCCAGCGCTGCTCCCTCTGGGAGCCCCCACTTTACAGATGAATCGGGGCCAGAGCCCCGCAGAGGGTCGGACAGCATGAGCAGTGCCTGGCAGTGCACCTCCCGCCCCCGCTGGAGCAGTTTCTGGCCACCCACGCTGGTTTAGGTGGGGTTCAACATACCCTGGGCCAGAGGGGATGGCCCCCCATTGGTTCTGGCCCCCACCCACAGCACAGGCACGCAAACGGGGTGGGTGGCGGCTGAGGGAAGCCACCAGCCCCTCGAGAGTACCGCGACCTCTCTGCCTCGGGCCCGGCAAGGGCATCGCCAGACGACCCCGAACTGGATGTCTTCTCCCGGCCTCTACCCGATCTGGCTCTAGCCACAGCTTGCCGACCGCGGAGCAGATAAAATGGAGAGAAACCAATCCCCAAACTGAAATGACCTGAGCGACGGCAGCAGTTTTCCCAAGGCCTCTGCGTGGTCCTGACGTGATCACTTAGCAAAGCGGCCCGACCCACGACACCCCACTGCAGCGTGTGGCAGGACAATGGTGTGCAGTGGTGGGCACCGTGCGTGGCGGGCAGCGAGGGCTGGTGCTCACCAGGAAAGAGAGGGTCCCCTATAGGAAGAACCGGGCAGTGCACTGGGGTGGGGAACCCAGCTGTTTGGGGATGCACCCTGAAGTCCAAGCTGCCATCTTGGGGAGAGCACGTCTGACGCAGAGGCTGGAGCTAAGTGCAGGAGCAGGACCAGTGTGGGGCCGGTGCGGCGGCTGTCCTAGAGCGCCCCCGGACTGGCGCCGTCGGGCCTGTTGGGGTGTGTGGGGGGGGGACGCCGTCAGAGGAGGGGGGGGCCAGAACAGAGCACAAGCTACAGCGGCCTGCCAGGTGTCCCTGCTTCAAGGAGCCGGCAGGAGGTGACCACGGAGCTCTGGGGTGTGGGGTGCCCGCAGCCCCCACAGGCCACGTGGGCTGGAGCTGCTGAGGCAGAGCCAGGCTAATTGGAGAAAATGAGGGGACAGAAGGCCTCTCGGGAAAGGTAAATAAAACTACTCCCCCGCCAGGCGCCAGGGCCCTCCTGAGGCGGCCCTCACCCGGCGCTGCCCACGCCCACCGCAGGCCCGGATGTGGCGAGGAGGGGAGTGGGAGAGGCGGGCAGGGAGAAGGGGGCGGCCGGTTACAGGGGACGGAGCCCTCCGGCGGCCCAGGCGGGTGGCCGGTGCCACTGTGACGGGCGGAGTCTGCAGAGCAGGGAGGCAGTACCGGCCTTGCAGGGGGAAGGCAAGCCCCTGACCCTGAGGCTTCAGGCTACTTCTTCTCCCAGGCCCTCCCAAGCCCCTGCCCACAGGGCAGCCCCGCCAGCCCCCGAGGCCTGGAAGCCTCTGTGGGGCACAGGTTAGTGCAGGGAGAGTTCTCCTTCACGCCAGCTGAGCTCAGGGTTGGTGACTGCCTTGGGGGGAGCGCCACTCACCTAGTGGCCTCCTGACAGCCCTCCCTACCCTGACTCCCTCTGCCCTTCTCCTTCACCCCTGTCCCTGTCCCCAAGGGAACTGGAGCAGACCGGCAGAGCTGAGGGCGGAGGCAGAGGCCTGGCAAGGGCTGGACTTGCCCAGCCAAAAAACACTGACGGACGAGGCACCCTGCAGGTGGGGAGGAGAGGGGTAGGTGGGGGAACCCACCTTCTCACAGCCCAGCACCCACACATCCAGGAAAATGAACGCTCCAGGCCCTCTGCCTCTTCCCCATCTCCACTGCGTCCTTGACCTCAGGCCCTTCCCCCAAAACACACGAGTACTGCCCTGCACGTGTGCACATGCATGCGTGTGTACGTACGTGCTACTAAAATGAGTGTGAAGAACAAGAAAGAGGAAAACCTGGACTACAACAAACACGGATCAAACCGAGGAGAGTTGCGAGGTCACCCCCAGGACGGCCGCTGTGTGCCAGGCGGAGCGCATCGCGGGGGGGGGGCTCAAGCGGGGCAGGAAGTTACGGGAGAGACTCACCCTCAAGGGGACCAAAGTGACTAAACACACTGAGGGGAAACTGAGATGACCTGGTGGAGAGTTCAAGACTTAATTAGTATCAATTACATAGAAAACTAAGCAAGTGAAAAAAGGCGGCCATTAGTAACTTCGAGGAAAACAAAAACTTGGGCAGAAAAGAACAATCACAATTTAGCACATGGTTCAACTCTAAACAAATACAGACATCATAATGTAAATACTCAACAACACATAACCAAAGTCAGAGGAAAGGCCTGTCTAGGGAGGGTGGTGGGTGAGGGGTGGCCGTGGGGAAGAGCAGAATGAAACAGAAAACTCAAGAAGGAACAGTTTGTGTACGCTAAGAAATAGAAATACAGTTGAAAGTGGTCGTCTGTGGGTGGGGCTAGGAGAAGACCACCGAGGCTGGCCCACTCTCTGACCTCCACCTCTTCCTGGACACCTTGGCGGCCCTCAGCCCCAGGTCCCCCTCCCCCCACCCCCCTGCTTGCTTCTTCCCTGACCTCACTTTCCACTGCTCAGCCCTTTTCCTGCTACCCCCCCCTCCCCTTGACTGCAGTGCCCAGGGATCAGGCCACCCTCCTCCCTTACGGGTACGTGAAAACTATCAATATCTTAGATGATTTCCCAGTCTTATCTCCAGCCCCTGTGGCCCTCCCAAATCCACGCTTTAGACTCATCTTCCCATGCAACCCCCCCAATTCCACATGTCCACAGAGCTCCTTATATGCCCCCCACTGAGCTTCCTAGAGTTCACTGAGGTAGCCCCATAGGTCTGCTTCTACCCTGCATCTGCCTACAGCCTGTTCCCAAACTAGTAGCCAGAGCAATCATTTTACATCCCATCCAGCCTCCGTATCTCACTTCAGCTTAACGAAATGCAGGGGGCAGAGGAGCCTGCTAACAGAAGGAAGTGACCAGCCAAATCCAGAATGCAGGAACCTCCATCTTGAAGCACTCAAAGGGTCTTCAATACATAAATGGGGGGAGGGGAGGTAAAACTTAAGGGACAGGTCAGACAGGTGCAGCAGATACACACACTCTGCCTTCCCATCCTGAGTCCATAACCCACATAGAATATAATTAGATGTTAAGGGGAACATGGGCTGGGTATTAAATGTTTGGGGATTACTGTTCATGCTCAATACACACAAACATGCTCAGAGTGCATGGTCAGTATTTACTAAATCAAAATTTTGATAAAACTAAAAGCCTAAAATTTGAATAAGGCCAGCCTCTGAAAAGAGGTAAAGGTAGGGTAATAAAACTTGCCCCATGGAGTTACCAACACTGAATGAACTAGTGATGTGCACACATGCAGACTACAATGTGATGGAGTAATGGACGCATCCCTGTTCCATCAAGATGCTCACTGCCCTCACTGTAGCAGAGGTAAGGGGTCTGCAGCCGCTTGTAGGAAGATCCCCAGGGCCTCGGATGGGGAGGGGCAGGCAGCACAGCTGGGGCTCAGACCAGAGGGCCCACGCCCATCTGAGGGCTGGGCCAGACCAACCGGGAGGGCCTCCCTACTAGCTAGCATCCCCCCAATCCCATTTCTGCCCCCTCCCCCTGGTCCCTGAGACCCCCTTTATGACCGCTCAGAGTCCTCACCCATTAGGCAAAATCTCCAAATGGGACACATGGACCCCAAGTTAGGGAAGGGATGGCTCCCTGCCCAGCCAGCATGCCTCCATCCACCCCCACCCCCACCCATTTCCTGCTCCCAGAGCCTCCACCTCCAGTGCCCCCATCTGGGCTCCACCCTCCCTCCTAGCATGTGGCCTCCTCACCAAACTCCCACCTCCGAGGTGGTCTCGCCAGAAAGACCACAAGCCGAGGGCCTCCATTTCACACAAAAGCTAAGTTGGCGGGACACTGAGTGAAAAGCCTTTGAGGGATCTCCGGTGGTCTTCCCACGGCGGTGGTTGGGTGGACAGGTCCACGGGTGTCACCGCTAGCGCAGGAGGAGGGAGGGTAGCTGGGGGCATTCAAACGCCTTGGCAAAACACGCCACAGGTCCCCGGGGAGCAAACAAGGCCACGTGATTAGAGACTTGGCTCAGGGCCTTGCCATCACCGGCACCCACTGGCAGCGAGCCAAGGCGGCTGCTTATTACATGACCTGTCCTTCCTGTGCCCTGTCCCTGGGGAACGCCCCCCCAGAGGAAGATGCCTCCTGAAGTCACCTGTAGGCCCCAGAATACTCTTCCAGGAAAGGATGTTCCCAAAATAAATTCCAGTTTGGCGTCTCTGGGCCTGGCCTACCAGGGCTTTCCAGGTTTGAAGGTCAAGTGCACTCGGGTCTCTCTCAGGGCCCAGCGGCCACCCCTTCATCTGAATGGCGGAGAAGCCACGCCCCCCGGGTTCTGTGTGTAGGTCCAGGGCTGCAGAGGGAGGCTACTGCCTCCAGGGCCCCCACCCCTAAGGCAATGATCCCCTAAAGGAGAGCCACCTCAGCCTCTCTCCTCCAGAAACCCCCACCTCCACCTCCCACTGCACCCCCCACCCCGAGGCCTGAGCCCTGCTCGAGGAACCCAGGGATCTGACGAAATTTCTGGGTTCAGGGGTCTGACCTTGGATCTTCAGCCCTGTGTAGGCTGCCGGGACAGAGGCCTGACAGACCAAGGGGCCGATCCAACACCACCTGCCTTTATTCACTGGTCCTTGGGCTCCAGTCACACACACTTGGCTTTTAGAGAGCACGGGAAGAAAAGGGGACCCTGGTGACCATCCCAGCACATGGTACAGGGCCAGGGTCAGCCTCATGCCCCTGCCCGAGGGGACTGCTGTGGCCACAGGGCCGCAGAGAGCAAGGGGCTAGGCCTGGTTGCCCAAGACCCTTTGTGAGGGGGTGCTCAGGGGCATCCCAGGCCTGGAGAGCTGGTGCCATCCCGAAGCTGATGCAGGGAAGGAAGGGGCCAGGCTGGACAACGGGGTGAAGGATTAGATGCTCCCCAAGGTGTCCAGCCCAGAAAAGCAGCAGGGCTTGGTGGGGGATCCACAACAGGTATGAGAGGGGCCACCCTCGTCCTGCCTCCTGGCCACCTCACGGACAAGCCCAGTCCCACCAGCCTGGGAGACAGCAGAGGCTCCCTTGTCTCCCTCCTGACCTTGGAAGTGGCTGGGGGGGGGGGTCAGGGGCTGGGGGGGCGGCAATGGAAGGTGGTGGGAAGTGGAGAGGAGTCAGTCAAGGCCCTGGGGTGGGGGCAGGCAGAGCAGGTGCTCCAGAGATGCAACTCCGGGGGGAGCAGGGGCTGGTAGGGCCCAGACCCCCCTACCCCCAGTGACAGGGCAGCTTGAGACCCCCCTGAGAAGAAAGGAGGGGGCTCGGGGAGGAAGGGCAGGCCTTGGCCATCAATCATGCCCCTCCTGGTCCTGGGGTTTACAGCTCCTCCCCCTCCCAGGAGCCGAACCCGCAGGAGACCAACATCAGGCGGCGCCTGGGTCTCCCAGAGGCCAGGGGAGGGACACCACACGCTTCAGGACTTCTTGGCGTCCGGCGTGTTCCGGCGCTTCAGATCACTCAGGTCGATGGGCTTGAAGGCTGTCAGGGGACAGAGCGATCAGTGGTGGCATGGATGGAGAGGCAAGGTCTGGGCCCCCCGTCCCGCACCTGCCCCTGGAAGCCCTGGGACCTGGTCCAATCTGCCACACTGCCTTCCAGCCCTCCCCCCGCCGCACAGCCCCCCGGCCAGCCCCTCCCTCCAAGTCATCTCCTCTACTCACTCTTCAGACTGGGGTTAGGGACCTTCTCCACATACTCCTCCACCAGGCCCCGCTCGCTGCCTGACATCTGGCTCCGCAGATCTCGCTCCACGCCCTGCCAGGCTGCGAAAAACAAGGGGGTGGCCTCAGAGCCCCCAGCATGGCTGGGTAGTCAGGCAGAGTCCAAGTGGTCAGTGCCCTCACCCCTCCCCAGCCCTCAGAGCATCCTGGTAGCCCCTCCCCCAGGCCCCAGCCCCCTCCTTCACGGCTTTCAGCCCCCACCTGGCCTGCTCTTGACCTGAGGTTGTCCTCAGAGCACCCCATGTCCGCTCTCTGCCCCCCGAACTTGGCTCCTAGCAGGCCTGCCCTCGTCTGTACGACGACCAGGGCTGCACTCACAGAAACACATGGGACCCATCAGCTCTCGATCCTCTGCTCAGGCGCCCCACCTTTCCCACCTCCGGGCACATGTGTCACTCACGGACAGGGGGGCATGCGTGCTCACGCACCCCGCCGGCGACACCACTTCTCAACACGCCTGGGTCCTCCCGGAGCGCACCACCATCCCGTCTTCCACAGCGGTTCCCCGCCCTGGAGTCAACCTGACCCGCTCCGATGCTTCCTCCCCTCGGAGCTGCCTGCCCCCCATGACCAGAACTGGGCCTCCTCACCAGACACAGCCCCTAAAGGTGGGGGGAGAGCCTATACCCTGGAACGGCAGGAAGGGGGCTCCGGGGAGTTTCTCGGAGCCCCAGTCTCGGCTGGGGGTGCCCCACGTACCTTCGTAAATGAAGCGCACATTCTCCTCATGGGCCGGGGTGAAGATCTCACTGCTGCTGGGGGGAGAGCGAGGGCTACTGTTCCTCTTGCCGTTGTAGACGACTCTGGAGACAGGGGAACTGGGGGGGCCCAGCATGTAAGGAAGGACTGGGGACAGAGTGGGGCCCACCCCCTGCCCCCTGGGGGAGGCCACTCCACCGCCTAAGACCCACCTGGTCATTGCGGGAGTGTCTGGTCCTTGCGCTCCACTGGCGGGTCCCCTCGGCCTCTAAAAGGGAAGCCCAGACCCTGGGAGTGTGACAGAGTCACCCTCTCCGTGGGGGCTTCAGAGTGGGAAGGGGCATGGGGCCCACCTTCTCCCACAAGCTGATGCCAAACTGCTGTGGGCTCATTGCCTAGCCGGGATCCCCTCGGGGGTGAGGCCCAGCCACAATCCGGGCAGTCAACCAGATGGAGGCTGGGGGCCAGCAACCTGCCCCTGAACTCAGAGCACCTTCGTTCCAGGCAGCTCCCAGCCCCTGGACCACCGCCACCCAGGGAACCCCTTCCCCCCCAGTCAGGTGGCTTGGGATGGCGCCAGCAGCAATGCCCAGATTCCCTTTCCAGAGTCATGAACACCTCTCAGGGAAGTCTGGGTCTGCAGGGGAGAGCTGCAGCGACCCCAGTGAACCCTGACTCTGCCCTTCCTGCCTGCAGGGCCTGGCGTGCTGTCTCCACTGAGCCTGGTTCCCATCTTAAAACAGGGATGGGCTTCATGGTGAGGAGCCCAAAAGAGCATGAGGCCCAGGGGGTGCAGGGAACCTGCCCAGCTTCCTGGTCCCAGAGGCCAGGGCACAAGTGAGTCAGGGCCCTGGATAGGACCTGACAAGGCAGGAGGCTACAGAAAAGTGTGAGCCTGGAAGAAGCTCCTGGGCCTGACCCAGGCACCAAGACCCCAGGGTGCTGCCTGTTTACAGCCTGTCAGCTCAGATTTTATACCCCTTGGGGGGCGGGGGGTCAGTATTTTTTTTTTTCATTTTAAGATTTTATTTATTTACTTGTCAGAAAAAGAGCAGAAGCAGGAGGAGTGGCAGGCAAAGGGAGAGGGAGAAGCAGGCTCCCCACTAAGCAGAGAGCTCGATGCGGGGCTCGATCCCAGGACTCTGGGATCATGACCTGAGTTGAAGGCAGACGCGTAAAAACGGAGCCACCCAGCTGACCTGGGGGTCGGCATTTTTAGGCTCAGTCTCAAACTAGCTAGGGAACGGTGTCCCCTCTCTCTGGCTGACAAGAGAGCACAGAGTAAGGAAGCCGCCTACACGGGGCCAGTCCCACGCCTGGCCTGGCCCCAGAACAGATGACCCCAGGTACTGGGGGCAGTGGGAGGGAGGTCTTGAGCACAAGAGCCTCTTTCCCCCTCCCTCCTGGAGCCCAGAGCATGAAGATGCAGCCCTTCCCAGAGGGCCAGAAGGGTGGGCTGCTGTGGGGCCTTGCTCTCTGGTTTATTCACTCATGTCATCAAGGAGCCAGCCTTTGAACACCTGCACAGGTAAACACAAGCCCAGGGAGCAAGACGGGAAGCACAAAAGAGCATAAAACCAGCTTCCTGGAAGACACACAGCAGCCCGTGTCCCACCGCACCCCGCCATGCAGAAGCCCAGCCCCTCACAGAGAGACTTCTCCTTCCTTGGACTCAGGGGTCTCACTGCCCATGGACCTCTTTCCCAGACGTCAGCCCCCCAAACACTCAGGCAGGGGGAAAGCCCTCTCTGGCCTAAGGACACCCTGGGACACTCAAAGGGCTGTCAGCAGTGGGACAAGGTAGAAAGCTCCAGTTACGTGGCACGTGACAGGATGGAGGAACCAGGAGGACCGGCCAGCCCTTGCCTGCCCTCAGCCAGGCCTGCCTCTCCTCCTGCCCAGGTGCTCTTAGTCCTCTTCGATCCAGAGGCCCCTGCTGCAGGGCACCTGCCCTCCCCACCTCACCTGCCCTGCTGCGCGCCTCTACCCTCAGGGCAGCCTCTGGGGATCACCCGGCCTTTGTGGGCACGTGGCCTCATCTTAGGGTCCCCTGCTCATCCGCTCTAACTCAGGTGTTTACCCCTTCTCGGCTCCCGTCACCCTGCCTGCACACACATGTACGCCTCACCTTCTCCTCTCTGTCTCTGCAGACCCAAAGCCTAACCTGGGCTGGCCCCAGAGTAGCCAGGCTGCAGGAGCTGTGCCTGTGACCTGAGCCCCGGACCCACAGAGCACTCGGTCCCCACACGGAGGACCCAGCCCCGCTGCCCACGGGGCTTCCTGCCTAAACCAGCAGCATGATGAAGTCCCTGTCCCAGGCCTGTGCATGTGTCAACAAAGGCCCTCCCGTATGGACATCCTACTTCAGTTAAGGTTTCTAGTACCCTGGACAAACTGGACAGGGAAGTGACTTCACATCACACATTCAGCAGCTTTTCACAGCCTGGGGGCCTGAAGAACAAATAAAATGACATTTTAAAAAGGAGCCACCTTCTGCCTTCTTTCCCAGCAGAAGATCATACCCCACCAGGACGACTGCTATGGCCTGTGTCCTACCAACCTGTCTTCCCAGACCGGAGAAAACGGTCAGCTCAGCCTCCCTCCCCTGGGCCTTTATCTCCAACATCTCGTACTGGCCCCACCCCCACGAGACCCCACCACCTGGCAGGACTCGGCGGCACCAGGAAGCTTCTCCTGAAGAAGCCTCCTGAGAGGCCTGCTGCTCGACAGAAGGGACAGTGACCTGCCACTCACTCACCCTCCTCACCTCCTATGGTGATTGGGACTCCAATCCTGAGGCCAAAAAAAGTTTCCATTAAAAAAAGCAATCCATATGCACCCCCTGACAGTGACAGCCATCCCAGTCCTGGGTACGTGCCCGAGACAAGGGCCATGCAGCCGCTGGGAGGGGAACGGGAGCGGCCAGAGAAGCACCCAAAGGAAGAGCCACTAAAGAAGGGGGTGTATGTCGAGCCCGCCCCTGCCACTGAAGACGACTCAGCTGGGAGCACGAACCACAGCAAGAACAGGCAAATCACAGCACTGAGGCTGAACAAAAGGAACTGACCCAAAAGGACAGAGGATGGAAGCCTGGGGACACAGGTCCACAGGGAGCAAACCCCCAGCAGAGGGCCAACCACAGAGGCTCCAACGGGAGAAATCTAAGGGCACAGCTGGAGTACAACCTGGACCTAAGCGACCACTGGACCAGCATGACAAAATCTCCACTGACCTCGGCAGGAAGGGTCTCAGTGGAGTAAGGGGAGGAAGGGGGCAGTCAGCCAAGGTCGGCCTGTCTGTGAGGAGCAGCCATGGAGGGAGGCATGAGGCTGGGCTGACCACGGGGGCATGTCTGCCGAAGCAGAGGGACATCTGAGCATGTTTACTGCCAGGGGAAAGTGCTGAGCAGGGCCACGAAAAAGGCAGGTGTGGCGGGGCCAGGTGACCAGAGTGCTGGGGAGAGTGGCACGGGCCTGGAGGAGTGCCAAGGACACCTAGCAAGACAGGCCGAGCCATGGAGGACCACGGAGCCTCCAGTCCAGCAGGATGGGGACCTGGTGCACAGATGAGGGGCAGGGGCAGCAGCCTAGGGGAGGGCAGGCAGGAGGCCCCAGTCAGAGAGTACTTGGCCTTCCCCACTTCCTAAACCACCTCCCTCGTTTCCCTCATTTGCTTTCCCTCTTCTGTTCACAAGGACTAGAGGCACAATTATTTCCTTAGCTCTGGGGCGCCTGGGTGGCTCAGTCGTTGGGCGTCCGCCTTCGGCTCAGGTCATGATCCCGGGGTCCTGGGATCGAGCCCCGCATCGGGCTCCCTGCTCCGCGGGAAGCCTGCTTCTCCCTCTCCCGCTCCCCCTGCCTGTGTTCCCTCTCTCTCTGTGTCTCTCTCTGTCAAATAAATAAATAAAATCTTAAAAAGAAAAAAAAAAAGTAATAGGTTCACATCTGGCAATTCCCAGCCTGTTGATGTTTGCAGCATCCTTCCCATCTTGGTGACCATGATGTGAAGGGCAGCTCAGTCCCTGGTGCCTCAGGTCTAATGACGCAACGACGGTCTCCCCTCCGCCCACGATCCCACCGTCGGCAAGCCCAGGGCCATCCTTCCCAGAGCCTCCAATGTGCTCTCCAGCTACCTCTTCCCATTTCCAGCCACCCCCTGTCCGACCACCATCCCCCTACCCCAGTCCTGACACCCCTCCCAAGTAATTCCCCCGCTCTGCACACCCTGGACCCTCTAATGCAATCAAGCCCTCAGTCTGGCCGAATCTATTCCTTCAGGTGTGTCTGACTGCTGGGCTGCAGCCACCCCCAAACACTCTGAATCACAACCACCTCTGCCAGCTGCTGTCACCACAGAGAACCACTTGCTGCACTTGCGCTGTGCTCTGCAGGGCTTGACCCTTGTCCACGGCTATCGAGCTCACAGCAGCTGGTGGCTACATGCTAGGCACACGGCAGGGTCCAGAACCATTCTGTGGCTGGAGGTCATCCATCCTTGCTCTGCTGCCCCCAGGGAAATTCCTTCCCTCTCTGGGCCTCAGAGTACTCACCTAAGCCAAAGCTGCCCCCAAGGACGCTCACTGGGAACTTCTGGGAGAAGCACAGTCTAGGACAGTGCTGGGCACCCCAAATGCACAGGCAGCCCATTCACACGGAGGTGGAGGCCCAGGAATGTCCAGGACGTGTGAAAAGGCAGCAGTGCCACCAGCAAGCAGTCGCCATCCAGCAAAGGAGGGTCTGAACCCCCAGTGACTCCCAGGATCTGGGCCTCCAGGGCCACAGCAGGCAGGGCCAGGCCCAGACAGCTCAGCTGACCTGAGCACCCCAGAGCCCACCGACGCCCGCGCTGGCACCCCTTGGCAGGTCCCTGGACAGTCCTGACATCAATGTGGTTCTGCTAAGACAAGGAGGGAGTCTCTCGGGATGGATAAGGTTTGTACCTTGCTCTTGCACGGGAACCGAGGACTTTCCGAGACCTCCTGGGGGGAGGCAGGGCATGGGAGGACCCAAAGCCCAGCCGTCCATCCCCCAGTCTCAGACTCTTTCCCAACACACAGCCATATGCCTAAGAACAGGAGAGGAAAGGACACTCTGTTGTTCAGAAAAGTGACAATGAGTATTCTGGAGTTAGAATCAATGATGCAAATGGTGGTCATTCTGTGTTCCTTTGGAATCTCTGATACTCATGTTTTCTTAGATTCCACTTTCCCATGATACTCTGTGTCTTTGTGGTACTCAACAGTTTCAGCCATTAAGACTTCTAGAAAATAATCTACTATCCAAGCAGGTGCCAGAATACTGCAGTACTGGATACCCAACAGGGGCATTCCCCTGAAGACCCCCGGGGGGCAAAACCTCTAAGCCCTGCACCCTCTCCCTCCCTCCTGGCTGACGGCAGCAGCTCCCATTCCAAGCAACAGCCCTGAGCGCGCGCACCCGCCACCACCGGGCCCAGAAAGCTCACCATCCCCTCAGCTTGCCCCAAGTCAAGCTTATGTCCTTTATGTCCTGCCGGACATGGCTCCGGCCCTTTTCCTCCCCACCCCCACTCCTCTCTAAAAGCTCTCTACCCAGAACTCATTCGCCGCTCCCCACTGCCCACTCAGAGGCCCTTGCTCAAGGTGTCCGCTCCGCCCAGTAGGGTCTTACTCATCCTTGAGATTCAGCTAAAAGACCACCTGTTCTTGAAAGCCGACCTGGGGCTGGCCCGAGGACAGGACGTGTACACCTCCATAGCCCCTGAACTTTGTCACCACCCGGGGTGCTTCTGTAATTAGAACACACACGCACACACACACACGCGCACACACACACACGCACACGGCTCCCACCCCATCAGCCCTGCACTCCTTGTCTGTAATTAGAACACACACGCACACGCACGCACACACGCGCACACACACACGCACGCATACACGCACGCACACGCGGCTCCCACCCCATCGGCCCTGCACTCCTTGTCTGTAATTAGAACACACACGCGCGCACACACACGCACGCACGCACGGCTCCCACCCCATCGGCCCTGCACTCGTTTGTAATTAGAACACACAC